GAGGAATGGAACCCAGGGTATTCAAGCATGCGAGATTAAGCATTCTACCACTGAGCCACCTTCCCAGTCATACCATATGCTTTGCCATACAGCTTTCATGCGAGTTTATCATGAGCAGGTCTCACTTTTCTTTCCCTCACTGTTGGTGAACAGCAGACTTTGCTTGGTGTAGATTCTCAGGGCCTGGGCACTGACCCTGAGCCTTTTCTCCTCAAGGCTAGTGCTCTACCAGTTAAGTCACAGTTCCACTTCCAGTTTTTTGTTTTAATGGTTAATTAGGTATTAAATTCTCATGGATTTTCCTGCCTGGGCTGGCTTTGAACCATGATCCTCAGATCTCAGTCTCCTAAATTGCCAGGATTACAGATATAAGCCCCTGGTGCCTAGCTTAACCCATTTTATAAAAGCAGAATGCATGTTTTTATCTCAACAAATAAAAAAGAGTGATGCCAACGGGCTGGAGATGTAGCCCAGTAAAAGAACATGTGCGTAGTACGTGAGGCCCTGGAACACCTGCAAAGGAAAAGAGCGATGCCCATATCCATCAAGGATCAGACATTTACCAATCTCCATCTTGCAGGCAGGGAATCTTCTAGGAGCTGGGACTACAGAGTAGCTAGGCAAGCAGACACAAGTGTCCATATTCTTGTGTCATGGTTTAGACACTGGACTCTGCAAGCAAATACTGTGTCTTAATGTTGGCCCTAGTATTGACAAGCCATGTGTCTCTGAGCCTTCTGAGTCACTGTACAACCACATAGACCTAGGTCATCGCAGTGCTTCATGGGAATATGTGTGAGGACTAAAGAAGACAGGGAAAGCACTTAGGTGGTAACCTATCCTTGAGGGTCAGTCTGGGGTTTCACCAGGACCCAAAGTCCTCCATTACCCAGACAGGGGAGTACGTTGTTCTAATCAAAGAACTGCATTCTTTTTTGAAACACAGATTTCATCTATAATTCTACAGTGGTAAAATTTATTAATTAGTATAATCTTAATGTCGAGATTTAAAGTTTCTTCTTATTAATACTACTATTACTTTACATGGCCTCCCATAATAGGATCCTGGATCATATAAATTATCTTTTATAGAAATTTGAGTTAAGGTCTCCAGAATGGCCTGGAATTTTCCATCCTCCTGCCTCAACCTCCCAAGAGCTCGGATTACAGGCACTATCATACCCAGGTTATAGTGTATTGAACATGGAAAAGAGTCCTGCAAGATGACAGAGAAGATGACATGTCTCCTTTTAACTTTTCCGAGCAGTAAGAGGCTTACACACCTTCACAGAAGATCTTTCTTCTGACAGTCAGTAGCACATGGCCATTCCGTGCTGCGGTGGTCATGAGGTCCAAGACCTGTTTGTGTGACTTCCCTCTGACAGGAATCCCATCAATGCACATCAGCTCATCTGCAGCACGGAGCCGGCCATCTTTCTCAGCAGCTCCCAGGGGAATGATGGCCCCAATGTATATCTGGTAAGACAGTAAAGTAAAGGCTGGCTGTACAGTGTACAAAGAATCGCTGGAGAGTTAAGACCTTCCTGACTCAACACTGCAAACCAACAGATATCTCACAATTTATCTGTGAAAGTCATATTTCAGAAAGTTGCTACCCTAGAAGTGGTACCTCACCTAACCACTAATACAGTCCTTCTAGAATCCTCAGGCGACAATCAGTTACCACTGGAGACTAATTAGAACATACTTATACATTAAACATTTAAAAGTACTGACATTTAAAAATACTACTTTTATTTGCCTAACTTCTAAGATAACAATGTACTCTTTTTGGATATGACATAGAATAAAATATAAATACATTCTTATATTCTACAGGCCATATTACTCTCTGCCATTTACCAAAGGTAAGGGCCAGTCATAATGGCCATATGCCTGTGGTCTCAGCTAGAGGCAGAGGTAAGAGGAGGATATGAGTTCTGTGAAAAGATTAGCTTGAGACCCTATTTAAAAAACAAAACTGGGGCTGAGAAGGTGGATCAGTGGTAGAGCGCTTGCCTTGCATACATGAGGCCCTGGGTTCAATTCCTCAGCACCACATAAGCAGGAAAAAAAAGAGCTGGAAGTGGTGCTATGGCTCAAGTGATAGCGTGCTAGCCTTGAGCTGAAGCACTGAGGGACAGCGCCCAGGCCTAGAGTTCAGGCCCCATGACCGGACCCTTCCCCCTCCGCCCCCCCCAAAAAAAAAACTAAACTAAAAGAGGAAGGATTGGAGGCATAGCTCAGGTGGAAGAGGGAAAGCACAAGCAATCCTCTGTACCACAATAAACAAAAAAAGAAGTGCAAAACTTAAAAACTGAACCACTGATTGTTCCACAAACTTCATATAAGATCACTGCATAAACAAAATTCTAGAGTTGAAATGCTTTACAGATCTAAGCCTTTAGCATTCTAGACTGAAATATGAGTTATTTTGTCTTCTCAAGCTTTCAGAGCTAACAGAAGGAACAATAGGACTGGATGAACAGAGAAGAGGGTTATCACAGCATCTACAAGGTAAAGACCTTGGCAGAGAGGACAGAGGATTATAGGTTTCTTCTGGGACTTGAACTCAGGGCATCTTGTTCTTGCTTAGCTTTTTCTACTCAAGGATGGTGTTCTACCACTTGAGCCACAGCTCCATTTCTTTTTACTCTTTAATAGGAGATAAAAGTCTCACAGACTAACTTCTAACCCAAATCCTCAGATCTCAGACTCCTAAGTACCCAGCATTACAGAGTGAGCCACTGGTACCTGGATAGGTAACAGGTTTCTTAGCGATGATGTCTTAGAATCTGCTTTGCAAGGGAAAGCTAAAAGGAAAGCTCAGCTAAGTTTCTGTTTTTGGGTGTCAAAGATGGAAGCAGGCCTTGTGTACACTAGGTGCATGTGTTACTGTTGAACTCTAGCTCTAGCTCCAAGTAAGCCTTATTTATTTACACAGAAAAGTAAATATATCAATCAGTGTCTGAATTATAGCTGATATGTTGTGTTTTTGTTTTTCTTTGGGGGGGGGTCTGTCATGGGGCTTGAACTCTGGGCCTAGGCACTGTCCTTGAGCTGTCTTTGCTCAAGGCTAGCACTCTACTGTTTTGAGCCATAGCACCACTTCCGGTATTCTGGTGATCAATTGAAGATAAAGAATCTCACTGACTTTCCTGCCTGGGCTGGCTTTGAACTGCGATCCTCAGATCTCAGCCTCCTGAGTAGCTAGGATGACAGGCGTGAGCCACTACTGCCTAAGTCTCAGCCGACATGTTTTTAGCTACAGTTGTTGGCTTCAGCTATTCCATGCTAATTGAGGATGGATGCTACTCACAGAAATGCCTTTTTCCTCATATTAAAACAAGAACACCCCACTCCACTGAAACACCACTCCAAGAGACACATGGCAAAGATTCCCACTTACGGACTGGTCAGGCCCATCTCCGCCCAGGACCCGGAAGCCAAACCCGGATTCCTGTTTCCGAAGAAAAACATCCAAATCTCTGGTGTTTGGTGCTAAGGAAAATCAGAAAATGTAGAGTAAATATTTTGTTCATATTTGAAAGTATTAAAATAAAATCAAGTCCAGTATTTAGTAGGATACAATTATAGTGCAATTCAGTTATGTATAATATCATAACTTTTAGATGGGTGAAATTTTACTTAAGTGTATGGGAAATACATACTTGAATACAAATCTGTTTTAAGTGCTAACCAAACTGTAACAAGACTGTTCAGGAACATTTGTGTGGATTCTGTGCATTCAGTATACAGGGTTATTCACTTCTAATATTGTCCCTTCTGTACTACAACATTCAATTCAGAATGATCAAAAATCACTTTGGTGTTTGATAGATATAATCTAAGCAAGGTAATTTAAATCTAAGGAAAGAGAGCCTATAAAATACTTATCCTACTCTTAAAAGTTTTTTTCACATGAATTATCTACGTAGCCTCATTTTGCAAAAGGTTAGTATTTTAAAGAAAACAGCTATCAGTGACAACTTACTGGACGGAAATGAACGGCCTGACTGACTTG